ACTCTTATCGTCACTTCCATGCATCCCTCGTGTCCACGAGATGCGTGCCAACAACAGTATACATCAACGTTTCTCTAGTCTGATTCGCCCATATTATAGTTTTCATATATCATTGTGTGTGTGTATAACCAGGCAAAATCATTAATTAAGAAGTACTCCTTACGAAGATCACTCCAACTTTCTCAGGTTGCGACAAGTGGCGCGCTGCATGTGCGTCACTTGTCGCAACCTGAAAGTTTTCCCTTTTTTCGTAGATCCGTTTATTCAAAATGTTTTATTTTTTAAATCGTGCGTTCAAATCTCGAACCGATTTCGCCATTGGTTTCCTCGCGTCGAGATCTTCAAAACTAGATCCCATGTTGATAGGTTTTGACGAATTTTTTTTTCACGAAAAAACCGGACGAAAAAAACCGACGAAAAACCGAACCGGGAACACGGTTTTTTTTCCTTTCCGAAAAGAGGCACGCCCGTGCCTCTGACGAAATCACAACCATGCCTCTCGCGAAAACAAAACCGTGCCTCTCACGAAAAAAAAACAGAAAACGCATTTTTTTTCCTTCTCCGAAAGAGGCACGCCCGTGCCTCTCGCGAAAGCACCATGCCTCTGGCGGAAGCAAAACCGTGCCTCTCACGAAAAAAAACAGAAAATATGTTTTTTTTCCTTTCCGAAAGAGGCACGCCCGTGCCTAGCACAACCGTGCCTCTGGCGGAAGCAAAACCATGCCTCTCGTGAAAGAAAAAAAAACAGAAAACACGTTTTTTCCCTTTCCGAAAGAGGCACGCCCGTGCCTCTCGCGAAAGCACAACCGTGCCTCTAGCGGAAGCAAAACCGTGCCTCCCGCGAAATAAAAAAACAAAAAACGCGTTTTTTCCCTTTCCGAGAGGCACGGCCGTGCCTCTCGCGAAAACAAAATCGTGACTCTCGCGAAAAAAATGCATTTTATTGCGCAAAAAATTATTTTTTTCGATTTTTTTTTTGTCGAAAAGCTAGGGAAGACCGGTAGAAAACCAAAACGTAAAAAAAACAAAAAAAACCTTTTAAAAAACCGAAAACACGTGCGTAAAAATAAAAAAAATCCGAAAGGAGCGCCCAGAGCGCGACACGTGGCGGCTAATCGTTGCGGGGCTTCCGAAGGAGCGCTCGTTAATTAGTTGCTCCCATAACCAGGGAGTGTGAAGCAAATCGAATAACGGGCCAACCTCTTGCTCAGTGGGCCTGGCCCATCTATTTTCTTCTGAGGTAAGCCTAGGGCATCTATGTTTTGGTTTGTCGCAAGAAAAAAAAATGTTTTGGTTAAATTTGTACCAGCAAAGAGGAAATCGGGAGACATGAACTGCCATGCATGGCCCGATTTGGTCTCCACTACGCTTTGCCACTGTGTGTATACAGGGAATTAGCGGGATGATAAAATTAGTTTTATGGTTTGTTATATGAGTCGAAAGGGTTGACTGATTTGGATGTCCTATTGGGTTCGGTCCATCGCAAGGTGACCGAGGATATGAATGATCACCTGCTTTCTTTCTTTTTCGATCAAAGGAGCTCAAGCTCCTAATTTCATTTTCATGAAACTCATAAAACAACCACCAATTCAACAAGTTCCACCAGAAACGCACACCATGACTGTAGCTACAACTTAGGTGAAGGTGGCTCCAAGGGCGCGATCGGTCCGTTCATTGCAACCATAGCCACTAGGCCCACAAAGCCACCCCGTCTGACCGAGGCATTGCCCTCCACGTGCATCCTTGAAGCGCGCCCATAAGAAGTCGCGGATGATCCGGTTAATCTATGCGAGGATGGATTTGTTTAGGACAATTGCCATGAGAAAAGTGTAGGGGCATGGTGCAGAGAACATGCCTGACTAGCTCCAGCCGGTCCCTAAGGGATAGCATGGAGCCGAGCTAGGTAGAGAGCTTCTTCTCCATCTTCTCGACCAACGGTAGGAGGTCCAACATGGTCGCCTTCCTGACGAAGAGAGGTAGACCAAGGTATTTTACCGGGAAGTGGGCGATCGGGCAAGTTAGCTCGGTGTTGATGATGGCGAGGTGCTCATCGAGCAGCGGATAAGCGTTGCCGATCACTTGGATAGGTTGGTGTGAAGCCTAGTCGCCGTACCAAAGACGCGGAGGAATCCTCGGATCGTAGAGATGTCGTGGGCATCCGGATGGCAGAAGATGACGACATCATCAGAATATAGGAAAACGCTAGATGCCGTGTGGCGGCGGGTAAGGCGGTGGAGGAGGCCTCGCTCAGAAAATAGCTATTTTCTCCAACAAAAGATGCTTCCACCTATCAATACGAACTACTCCCTCCGTTCGGAATTACTTGTCTTCAGAATGGATGTATCTAGAAATAAAATACATCTAGATACATCCATTTCAGTGACAACTATTTCTGAACGGAGGGAGTATGTTTTTGAAAATAAATTTGAGTTTCCTTAACTACCTCGCTAGTAATTAGTCATAAAAACCCAGTATAGACCTAAGACTGACTATACCCCTCGCACGACGAGGATCGACTGGAACTGGTTTGGCCTTGATTTTATGGTCACAGGTGATTCCAATCCACAATTGTCTTTTTTTGTTCGTCTCAGATGGCTCTCAAATATTGAGAGTCATCTATGATGGTTTCGCTGCGAATGAGTTATTCAGTTATTATCTTATTACATAATGATTTGATGAACCGTTCGGGATAACCAGTCTTGGATGAGGATGTCCGTAGTGGCGTCTTTCGACGTTGTATTGGAAAAAGTTGTATATATCATCATGCATCCACATTATATAGTGATCTAAAGTTCAGAAAGTTTGGTTGTAGATATGGAATACTACGGAGCGACACCTATTTAGCAACAGAAACAAAGCGGCTAAAAGCAGCCGTACACAGATAAGCCGATTTGGGGGCTAAAGCGTAGACAGGCACCGGAACGAACGTTACACGCTAGACAATCCAGCATCAATTAGAGCATGCTTCTTGAACGTCCGCAATGGAGGCCACCTCGCTGACAGGGATGGTGCGTCAAGTTGCGGAAGGCACAAATTCAGTAGCATTGTCAGTGTTGGGCAACCGTGCAGCCAAGGAAGCTAATGCAAAGTCCACGCCCATGAGTGTCGAGGATACTCTGGGTTGCAGTGGAATGAAAGGAATCGTATTGCAAGACACAAGCCATACAGCTTTTGGTAGAATGTACTCGCTCTGTAAGCTAATATAAGAGCGTTTAGATCACTGATCTAAATGCTCTTATATTAGTTTATGGAGGGAGTAGAATGAACGGTCACTGCTTCGTACTATTGCCATGTTCAGATTCAAATGGCAGTGATTTTATCAGTAACCAACTGACGACGGCGGAGGAGCCAAAGTGGGTACAGAGGAAGAGAGCGAATAACCGGGCCACATGCATGGGTTTTGCTGCGCAGACACCGGCTTAATTCCGACGAATCGTCTCGCTAGATTGCAAAATCCTGCACTGCATGCCCCAGGAGCGAGGATCAAATGCTAGCTGCCACTCTGAAAAGGGAACAATTATTCTTTTCATTTCATTCACAGGGACCACTGCCATGCCACCAGCGCCAGTGGCCGATCGATCGCTGTGCGCAAGTAGCAGTGAACAATGCTGAGAGACAGGCAGACCGGGCAAGTGCAGGCAGATATATGCATGCATGGCATGAGTCTCTGCTCTTCTGCTTCTGGTTGGTTTCAACGTGTAGCGTCATTAAGCACGCACGACAGGCGCGCACAGCGACCCGATTGATCGGTTCTTATCGCCCTAGCTCCCTCAGCTAATGGTGTCATTCTCACATTCTGGTGCGGTGAGGAACTCAACGCAGTAAACTTGGTTGGTTCAGAAGCGCGGCCATCGTTTCTGGACGCGCTGCTGCCCGGTACTTTGTGGGTGAAAATGGTGCCTAGCTAGCTAGCTCATGGACACGATCGATCCAAACTTGGACAGCATGCATGGCTGATGGCTCTGTACATACGACGTCTTGGGTAGCTAGCAAAAGTAAAAAAGTTGAGGTGAGAAGCGAAAAGAAGTAACCCGTCGAGAATAACCGCGCGGCGCAAGCTAGCACTGTAGGTCAAGCGGAGAGGCCAATCCCAAACCCTACTCTACGTACAATTCGGCAGTGAGCCACTGATTCACTCGTCACCGGGCCACTTGCGTAATATATTACTCCCTCCGTTCCTAAATATAGTACGTCTTTCTAGAGATTTCTACATGGACTAGATATGAATATATATAGACATATTTTAGATGTCGATTCACTCATTTTGCTCCGTATGTAATTCATATTGAAATTTCTAAAAAGACTTATATTTAGGAACGGAGTGATAGATAATTACCGGGGCAAAAGCAACGGGGTAATTAATCTGCGTCGACGACTTCGCTGTCAGGGGCGGGGAGGCGAAGTTGTTGGGTCCGGTTTTCCGACAGATCAGACGTGCAAAAATTATGCCATTCGGGCGCGCGAAGGGATAGGGGAATTTTGAGACAGGCGCATATATGCGGAGCCAACTTCACTCAATTCTTCCAGCCCGGAAGAAATAATACATATTCCATTCATTCATTCCATGAAAAACTCTCCGGCCGGCCCGGCCCCGCGCGCGAATTCGGACACGTACGTGCCTTCCGTTCCCTTCCCCCGCCACCGCGCGCGTGTGTATATATACGGGCCAGCCCAGCCCCCCTCCCACATTGCGACCCAAAGCAAGCAACAAAGAGCTCCTCATCACTCGCCACTCACCAGCCTCACCTCTGTCCAGGAGACCAAAAGGCCGAACCAACAAGCACCAATCCCACGGAGAGAGAGAGAGAAAGCTGGGCTTGTAAGCTAACGAGTCAAATGTACTTGTAGCTTGTACCGCCCACCAATCACCACTGGACAGCAGCCAGCGGCTAATATCTCCTCCAACAGTGGAAAGATCGATACAGGTAGAGAGGGATCGAGGGAGACGCGCGCGGCGCACCGCCGGCCGGGAAGCACTTTCAAGCCGGCCTTGAGCCATCATGTGCAACACCGGCGCCAGCCCTCCCCCCTCGCCGCCGCACCTTCCGCCGCCCCTCACCTGCTTCAAGAATTCCTCGCACCTGCTCCACCCCGTGGGTGACCACGACGACGACGACGACAGCCACCACCGCGCCCGCGCACTGGCGCTCTCCAAGGTATACGCGCGTGCGTGCTCTACATGTAGATGCGCACATTCTCTCTAGCTAGCTACCTATAGCCTCAGTAAATTTCATACTGGACATGCACACGTACAGGCAGGGTAGACATTGAGCTGCTAGCTAGCTAGCTACAGTACGTGGAAGGTCACTGCCTAGCTAGCTGCTTAATGTTTATTTACTGCCTGGCCAGTAACAGCAACCGGCCGGGAGGAAAAGGAAAGCTCCTCGAGCTAGTTTGCTTTTCTGAGCTCATCGACTTAATAATCTTACGTGCGCTCGTGTGTACGGATGGCACCAGGTGGCCGGCGAGGCGCGGGCGATCGGGCGGCTGTCGGTGCCCATGGCGGTGACGGGGCTCGTCATGTACTCGCGCAGCTTCATCTCCATGCTCTTCCTCGGCCAGCTGGGGGAGCTGGCGCTCGCCGGCGGCTCACTGGCGCTGGGCTTCGCCAACATCACGGGCTACTCCGTGCTCTCCGGGCTGGCGCTCGGCATGGAGCCCATCTGCGGCCAGGCCTTCGGCGCGCGCCGCGGCAAGCTCCTGGCGCTCGCACTCCACCGAACCGTGCTGCTGCTCCTCGCGGTGGCACTGCCCATCTCCCTCCTGTGGATCACCTCCACGGGCCACATACTGAAGCTGCTCGGCCAGGACGAGGGCGTGGCCAGCGCCGCGCAGACGTTCGCGGCGTACGCGTCGGCCGACCTGGCGGTGCTGGCCGTCCTGCACCCGCTGCGGGTGTACCTCCGGTCGCAGAACCTCACGCTGCCGATCACCGCGTGCTCTCTCTTCTCTGTGCTGCTCCACGGGCCAATCAACTACCTCCTCGTGGTGCGCCTCCGCATGGGCGTCGCCGGCGTCGCGCTCGCCGTTGCGCTCACCGACCTCAACCTGCTCCTGGCGCTTCTATGCTTCCTCGTCATCTCGGGGGCCCACAAGGACTCCTGGGTGGGTCCGACCTCCGACTGCCTCCGCGGCTGGGGGGCGATGCTCCGTCTCGCCGTTCCCACTGCCACCGCGGTCTGCCTCGAGTGGTGGTGGTACGAGCTCATGATCGTGCTGTCTGGGCTTCTACCCAACCCGCGCGCCACCGTGGCCTCCATGGGAATCCTCATCCAGGCCACGTCGCTCGTCTACGTGTTCCCTTCTTCGCTCGGCCAGGGCGCGTCCACGCGCGTCAGCCACCAGCTCGGCGCGGGTCGCCCGGCGGGCGCCCGCCGTGCCGCTGGCGCCGCGCTCTTCATCGGCCTCGTCATTGGCGCCGTAGCTTCCACCTTCATGATATCCGTCCGCAACCACTGGGGCCGCATGTTCACGTCGGACTCCGAAATCCTGCGGCTCACCGCGGTGGCGCTCCCAATCGCGGGGCTGTGCGAGCTCGGCAATTTCCCGCAGACCGCCGGGTGCGGGGTGCTCCGGGGGAGCGCGCGGCCCGCCAGCGGCGCTCGCATCAACCTGGCCTCCTTCTACCTCGTGGGCATGCCGGTGGGGTTGGCGCTGGCCTTCGGCGCGCGCCTTGGCTTCGCTGGGCTGTGGCTCGGCCTCCTGGCGGCGCAGGCCGCCTGCGCGGTGTGGATGGCGCGGGCCGTGGCCGCCACTGACTGGGACGTCGAGGTGGCGCGCGCCAAGGAGCTGACGAAACCCACTACCAGCTCCAACAACTCCGAATGCAACACCAACACATCAAGCGACAGTGCTGCCGCTAGCACCAAAAAAGCGGTAACTACTACTAGCAGCAATGCCGGTGGTAACCAGAGCAAAAACGGCTACGTGCCGATCAGCGAGAGCGGCAACGACGACGCGCTACAGAAACTGGAGGAAGGGCTCATGTCCATGGCCAGCTCTGGTGGTGCCAGCAGCATCGGCGGCAGCAATGGCGACACGAATGCGGTGGATAGAGACAGCGAGAGCAGCAGCAGCTTCAGCGGCAGCGGTGCTGTTTGTACGGCGGAGGAAGGAAAGGAGCAGTGCGTCTCGGAGAGGGCCCCGCTCATCAGAGTGGGGGACGTGGAGGAGGAGGCGCACGAGCACGATGGCGATGGCGATGGCCGTGGGGGCGGCCTGGTCTAGGGTGGTCGCTCCATGGATTGATTCTGCGTTTTGATAACTCTAGGCTGTTGCTATTGACTTGTTTGATCCATCTCCACGCCATCTTCTTTTTCGGTGGTGAGGTTTTGATAAAGAGCGAGCGAGAGAGAGAGAGAGAAAGTATTGAGGAGGAAATGATTATGTATATTGGCCTTCTTATTTTTACTTTTCTTCCTTATCATTACCCAGATTGGTACCAAGCACAACTCCTGGAAGCCTTCTGTAAATACTAGCTACTACACCATAAGAGGTCCAATATATATTTATATTTATATATTCACCAGAGTGCACATTATTAATCGATGATGAGAGTTGAAAAGTGCTTCCCACGTGTATGCGCACGCAGCCATCCACCATGGGTACGTATGGCACTGTTGGTGGCCTGATGATTTGAGACGAGTTGAGGGGGGTGCCCCCTGTAGCGCTGTTCCCCGAGTGGATGCAAGCGTGCGGGGCCAATGGTGGTGCCCCGTTGCTGCCATTTCCACGCACACCGCCACCATCTCGAACTCATTTGCTGCTCCTTTTTGTGCGTTTCCTTTTGATAAAGCGGCCGGGAGCGTACGATCCTCCGATATCTACAAAGCACTCGGTGAAAAAGCTGCCCTTGGTGTCTTGCGATTTTGCGAAGAATAAACTTTATGGCGCAGCGCAAAGGAACGATGCCGCTGCATGCCTCTGTTTCCCCTCTCAGATTACCCTTTTTCCTAAAAGGATCTTACGGCAAATATTTGGCACTGCTCACCGTACAAACGTCGAATAAAGCATGGGGTTTATAGCAGCCCCCGGTGTGATACTACTCAGATATGGAAAAGGGCCTTTTGCGCATCAGTGGATTGTTCACGACCACTTCCTCATTCTCTATTTGGGTTTGCCTTTCATAATCGAGTGGTTGTGAACTCTTTTTAGGTTGGGTTTGTCAACTTTAAGTAGTACCAAAAGATTTTTCTGTGGAAATGCATCAAAAATCGATTTGAAAAAAACTAGATTGATGGAAGGGTAAACTTATGTCATATGGAGGCCAGCTGGTGCTGATCAATTCAGTACTTACTAGTATGCCGATGTTCATGTTATCTTTCTTTGAAGTACCTAAAGGGGTACAGAAAAGACTAGGCTTCTATCGATCTCGTTTTTTCTGGTAGTCAGATGAGATTAAGGCAAAATACTGCTTGCCAAGATGGGATATTATTTGTCAACCCAAAGACAGGGGGTCTTGGGATTGAGAACTTCGAGATTAAAAATAAATGCCTGCTAAGCAAATGACTTTATAGGTTATTCATAGAAACTGATGGCATGTGTGCACAAATCTGAAGGAACAAATACTTACACTCTAAAACTCTGGCTCATGTTACCGTAAGACCTAATGATTCGCCGTTTTGGAAGGGGCTCATGAGAACAAAAGAGACCTTCTTTCATAGGGTGAAATCCGTTGTTGGTGACAGAAGGACAACAAGGTTTTTGGGAGGATACATGGTTATGAGAGACGCCTCTAGCCCTTCAGTATCCCTCTTTATATAATATTGTGCAACATAAGAAGGATTACGTGGCAACAATATTACATACGGTGCCTTTGAATATCCAGTTCAGGAGGCCTTTAGTAGGGGAACGTTGGATTTTTTGGCTACACTTGGTACGGAGGTTGATGGATGTTCAACTTTAAGACCAACCAGACTCCTTTCATTGGAAGTTAACGGACAATGGAGTGTTTTCGATTAAATCTATGTACTTGGATCTAATTAATTCAGGCCCAATCCCAAGACCGATACATATTTGAAAAGTAAAGGTTCCCTTGCGAATCAAAATTTTCATGTGGTTTGTCCACAAGCGGGTGATTCTTAGCAAAGATAATTTATTAAAGCGACAATGGGTAGGTAATGCACGATGTTATTTTTGTGATCAAGACGAAACAATACAACACCTATTCATAGATTGTCCTCTTGCGAAGTTACTTTGGCGCGCCATTTCATATAGCCATTAACATTACTCCTCCAGCTAGCATAGATGCGCTGTTTGGGACGTGGCTAAGTGGAGCGCAACCTGCTATTGCGTCACGTATTCGGATTGGATTGTGCGCACTACTTTGGACTATATGGAACTGTATGAACGATATGATTTTTAACAGACAAAATATTTTAAACTTCTTGCAGGTTATTTTTAGAGCTACGACATGGATCTGTATGTGGTTGTTACTCACTCCTATGGACTCCAGGAAGCATTTGGTTACTGGGTGCAACCGATGAGAGATGGTAGCACGAGCTATCTTCAACCTGTTTGAATGGCGATCACATAATAGGATAGGTGTTTAGTAACTTTGTCCTATTGTCCAGCCGGTTGTGGCTACGATTTACTTTGATAGTTTTTATTTAGCTTTGCTTCTTTTGCGAGTTGTATTCGGATACCAGACATTGTTTTTGCTACAACTTTTTCAATAATATGGCTGCATGCATCTTTCGAATGCAGAGGCCGGGACAATTCATTTTTTCCAAAAAAACAATAACAAAGAATCGGTAGAAATGCATGCCTTGTCAAGGCCGATCCTCACCACCCGCAAAATAAAAAAAAGAGAGGCCAATCCTCATCACCGAAGTTCCCACATTCCATTCCCATTTGTACAATTGCGCTTTTTCTTAAGCAGCTAAGCCAGTCACCATGACCCCGGACCAGAAAATCTTTCCCAAAAGGAGAAAAGCGGGAAAATACAATGGGTCACTGCCAGTGCCACTACTCATCAAGTGCATGCTGTACCATAGATTTCAGCGCCGGCTGTCCTGGCCACGGACACGGCAAAGGCAGGCAGGGAGGCAGGCAGAGCAGAAGCAGCAGAAGATAAAGATAGATTCCTTGACGGTTGACGGGGCTCAATCAGCCTCGCCAATTACCGGGGTCCGGCTGCTATTCGCCGTGCCCGATCGACGAGACGTTTTCCATGAGCGCGCGCATGGCGTAAGTAAGTCTATCCATATGATGTCTCTCGCGTGTATCCCTCTCGCTGCTACTCCCTCCGTTCCAAAATAGATGACCCAACTTTGTACTAAAGCTAATACAAAGTTGAGTCATCTATTTTAGAACGGAGGGAGTACACGCGAGAGACATCCGCAACAGCTACATTTACCTGGGACTCCAAAGCGCATCTGAGGCGTCGCTTTTTTGGCTGGTTAGCAATAAGAAACAAATGTTGGATGTCGGATAGACTGGCACACCAAGGACTGTCGCATCAGGACATCCGCCCTCTGTGTAATCAGGAGGATGAGACGATCAAGCACCTCATGTTAGAATGCTCCTTGACAAAGCAAGTGTGGTTTGAGATGGGGCGATTCACTGGAACAGCAGCCTTTGAGCCTCGACCGGATGAGACTATAGAGGAATGGTGCTCAAGACAGGAGGCATGCACGGCAAGACCGAAGGCTAGGAGAGCCCAATGTCTACTTGGGATGTGCGTGATATGGAAACATTGAAATGATGTGGTTTTCAACGCTGCAGCACCCTCGATTTCACAAATCATCGGAAAATGAAGGAAAAGGCCAAGATATAGGACCGAGTCGGCCTGTTTAGAGGTCAGCCAGGAGGAGTGGAGGAAACACAAGTGGTGGGGGGTTTTACTGAGTAGTTCTTTTAGATGCCTGGGTAGTGTGGATTGAAAATCCACATGTAAATACGCATTGTAAATATGACTTTGGGAGCTCCTCCTCCCCTTCTTTCTATAATGAATGATACGCATGCTTGTATGTATTCGAAAAAAAAGATATTTCGTGGTATATACTCCCTCCGTTTCAAAATATAGTGTTTTCTCTATTCCCGTGCTTCAACTTTGATCATAAATTTAATCAACAAGACCGACTGCGGCGGGAGCAAAAGTTATACCGCGAATTCATATTCAAAATAAGTTTTCAATTATATAAATTTTTTCTCCCACCGCAGTCGGTCACGTTGGTTAAATTTATGGTCAAAGTTGGACCTCGAGAAGCGCTGGCGCACTATATTTTGGAATGGAGGGAGTACATAGTAAAATTTATTTTACAATTTTGGACACCCCCACTAGATCGGGCCCTGTGTAAAATGGACGTTGTAGCTATCTGCGGACTAGTGATACATGGCTAGGGGACACACCAATGGTCATTCAGTATCCTACTCTGTACAATATTGTACAACAGAAAGAGGTCTTTGTCGTGATTCTATGTTTGCTAGTAAGTATAGGGGGTATGAATGAGGAGGCAAGGTCCTAGTTACGGTGAGATTGTATGCAAGTGTTTACGAGTTCAGGCCCCTCTCGGAGGAGGTAAAAGCCCTACGTCTCGGTGCCCGGAGGCGGTCGACTGGATTATATGAGTGTGTGTGTTACAGGGGGTGCGGACCCTTGTGCCAGAGGAGGGGGTGGCTTATATAGAGTGCGCCAGGACCCCAGCCATCCTCCGTTACAAGGGGTTCAATGTACATAAAGATGGGACGTTACTGATAACGCCAACTATAAAGTGCTATTAATGATCTTAAAGACTACGGAGTGAATGCCTAACCGTTGATGTTCTGGTCGACTCCTGGTCTTCAATAGGTCGAGTGATTTCTTGTATGGTCGAGTGGTTGACTGATCGTGTGACATCGGGAGGGAGGGGTACCCGAGTGACTGATTTGTCTGAGTGGTTTGCACTCGACACCTCCATTGGTCTCTCCTTGTTGTCTCTTGGGCTTCTTTGCTTCTAGGGTAGTGACCTTGGGTAGGGCGCATAGGTCAGGCTTATGACCCTACCCTAGGTCTATATCCTTGTCATTAGCCCCGAATGGATTAAGTCCGAGTGAAAGAAGTTGAATTTAGCCTTGCTTCGACTCTTGAGCTTCACGGGCATCTATTTTGAACTGGGAGTTAGTGTTGGAACTTCAGCTTCGCTTCAGTCGCCTTGATCGATTCAGAAGTTGCCGAGTGGATTTACGCTGTTACCCGTCGAGTGTTGTCTTTGATGTGAAATCCTTGATGCGATTGGTTACAGCGT